ATAAGACTGTCATCTCAAACTGAAAAACGCTGAACAGGATAAGAATGAAGCCTTCATTTTAAGTTATAAAGATGCTCTCCTAGAACTGATGTGTGAAATTAATACCAAAGCCATTGTCAAGTCTATGCCTTATGAGTGGGAACTAATTAATGTAAAATTATATGCTCACAGCTGCAAAAACTTGTTAGAGGCTCCCTGAGGTGATACAGTGGAGAGAATATCTCCGCTCTTAAGCACTGGAGGCCTTCTAATGGAAAAAAGTGCATAATTACTGCAATTAACACTTCTTGTTGGACCTCTGTACTACATCAGGCACTGGAATATTGAAGAGAGAAGCCAGACTATTTCCTGTTCTCCTGTGACTATTTACTTCAAGCATCTTTTGGAAATTCCCTAAAGGCCCAACAGCATGAGAACATGACATATCCTTGGTGGATATTTATGTGTGCATAGATGTATGTAGGTCCAGCTGAAACAATTTCCACCCAGATCCCAGGGGTACAAGAACTGGAAACTGAGACAAATCCCTGCCAGAATAAAAGGAGTCCAGTTGCTGGCTGATGTGTTAAACAGGGGATAAACAGCAGAGGATAAACCAATGGTTAAAGGGTTATTTTGCCCCAAACGGAGACTGAGACATGAGCTGACATAAGACCTGTCCTTTTACTCCAAATGTCCCTGCTCTGTGTGCTTCCTTCCTCACGACTGCACAGTGCAGGATTGCCGTGGGGCAGCAGCTGTGTCTCAGCACAGGCAGAGCCACTAGGATGGAGGAAATCACTGGGCAGCAGGAATGCAAGGGTGTGGGTGTGAAGACTTAAATAGAAATGCAGTGCAAGAGGCAAAGTCTGGAAGCAGAAAATACAATGCAAGTTAAGACAGACCCAAGTTGTGCTTAGGTGCATGATAAGAGCTAAGTTACAGTGTGCTTCATGTCTATCCTTGAGTCCCATAATGCTTGTTTTATTTTCAGTGAATTGTGATGCAGAAGGGCTCTCTGTAGGGAGGAAATGAGGCCTCACAGAGCCCTAAGTCTGCATCCACTGTGCTAAAAAAGCTTAAGCAGAACAAGAATAATAGTGTTAGCGTCCTAAGAAGCTTTCATTCAAGCAGCAGCAGATGCAAAGGAGGCAGCCCAAAAAGGAGGGAGGTAACATCAATCAGAGCACTAGAAGGCATGCTTCTGCACACATTCCAGCAGAGGCTCTCAAAAGAAAGAGAGCAGATTTGGTACAGGATTGAAAGAAAAAAAAAATTGGCTCCTGCTTGTACTGGAATATCCCCAACCTTCACATGGTCAAGCCTCTGCCACAGAAGCCTACTTTTTAAAGAGGGAGCAATTTTCTCTTGAAATTACAAAATTTCAAGACAATGTATTAATATGTGAATTGGCTACCATGACTTAATGTTTAGTTTAGAAGTGACATCTTAAAAAGTTAGCTAATGCTGGCAGGCCACAGCAAGAGATTAATTTAAAAAAAAAAAAAAAAGTCAATTTACTGGCATGTGGTACAGCAGAAAATAATATTTGGTCTTTGAAATTTCCTGTACATCAGGTGTTGACTGCAGCACGCGAAAGGCTTAAACTCCTAGTTACTGAAGGAGGAAGCAAAAAGCATAACTTGTCTTATGGCCAGGGAAGAGAAGACCAAGAATGTTTTTGGGTGCCTGGCTGACCCACTTTTTTTAATGCAGATGACTGCTTGCTGCTCATAAACTTCACCTGTCTTGAAGAGAAGTGCAGTGATCAGAATACAGTTTATGGGGTTGGAACAACTTGGTAGATGTCTACTTGACTGTGCATGAGAAAGACAAGTAGCTTATATGTTGACCTTAGCGTTAACCAGGAACCTGAATCAGCAGTAAGTTCTCTGTGATAGCTCAGTCCAAACTCTGTAAGGCATTAGCCCTGCAGTCATTGCTGTTTGGAGATAGTAATGACGAGGAGGGGTATTTTAGTTTAAGGGGAACTGACCCTTTAGAGGGAGGTTTGCTGGTTTGAATGTGATTGCCTTTGATGTGACAGAACATGAAACACACAATGTCTTCTTACGTGGTCCTGAAAACTTAACTTTGGCAAATTTGGAGAGACTATAATACTCTTCATCTGATCAGCTAACGTGGCTGGATAAATCAATGAGTTTTTGGGTAACCAACCCCCCTTTTTTTTAAATACAGCTTTTATGTCTTTTGCCTCTGCAGCTGAGATGCACTTTCCATCCTGTTACTATGGTGTGCACACAAAGGACAAAACTATAGGTGAAGGAATGATGATCATGCAAAAAGTCACTTGAGAATGCCAGGGGCCCTGCCTTTTTGGGATAGTGGGGTTGTGGAAAAGAGCTTTTCTTCCAGTCTTCCTCTGCATTTTGCTATTTGCAGTGTCGCCAGCAAACCTCACTCGTCTGGAAGGAGTGGAGATGAGTTGCTGTTTCTCATCTCAAGGGTTTGAAGAGCTGTTTCTCACACTGGATTGCCTGAAGTCTATAAACAGTCATTCCTAGTGTAACCGCAAGAGTCTTTTCCAGAGCAAAAGCCACTAAAGCACTGTCTGCAATGTTTTGGGAGAACTTCAGAATGGGAATTCAGTACAGCCTAATCCACCATCTGTTTTAGTAACAGTGTCTAGAGTTGAGAAGTAAAACGCATTCAAATAATAGATTTAAATATACTGATATTCTTTCGGTTTTCAGAACAAAGGACTAGTTCACTGTGAGGAGTGAACTCGAAACACTGAAGTATACAGACTACAAACTTTGGTTTAATCATCTCCATTAATCAACAATCTTTGTAAATTCAACAGTGAGAAAATCAACCTTGTTCATGTTTCCTTCAGCCCACTTCCTGGATTAGCTTCCATTCAGCTGTTACTCTGTTTCCATGTATTAAATTAACTTCTAGCTATTGTGAATGAAAGAAATAAGTAAGACTTACACCCTGTGGAGTGACAATGGGAAAGGCCTGAAAAGAACATGAACTTGCAAGTTTTGCTGTTTGTGAAGACAGACTTTTTTTCTTCATGTTATGTATTAAGTATTTAAGATGGGAAGTTGGCAGGCACACATTAGCTTCAATGACATGAAATTGTACAGCTTAAGACTCTGTCCCTGAGGCTGTCAACGCTCTGAAAGCTCCCAATGCAACACTCAGAAGATGTATTTCCTTTCCCCCACGTGTGACTCTCGGTATTTTGATCTTTGGTAAATGTCAAGTGTGGGGTTTAATTCTGCATTTCCTGGTTCTCACGTACCTTCCGCTTTAACCAAATTCACACATGGCTCCTGCTGTAGTTTTCACGTGTCCTAACAATAACACACTGATAAAAAACACCATAGTACACACATAGATACTTGACCTAAATACTGTAGGCAAACAATCTTTTTGCTGATAATGCAGTTCATAAGGAATAAAGGTAAAGAGTGTAGATTACAGTGGGGGGGGGGTCAGGGAAGTGCGCTGCTCTATCAGGAGGGTGCAGGACCTCTTCGTTCTGGTGAGGGACGGAAATTAAGTAAGTTCAAAGATTTGGTTGTCCACCTAATAGAAACTGGTAAGCTGTATTATGTTTGTTAATAAGCACTGTGGCTTCCGTGTCAGTTCTGCTTGCTGGAGCTTCTTGCTTTTTCAGGACCCAGTGGTGTTCCCCAGACAGAGCTTTTCTAATGACAGAGACTTGGCATGATCCAGTGGGGTGAAGTCACAGAGGTGGCTGGTTTCTGGATGCTGTAATATTGCACGTGCTCCCATAGCTAAATAAAGCAGATCTGCTGATGTTTTGCATTCCACAGCTCAGCTCCAGCTCTACTCCCTGCATGGAAATGAAATGCTGGGGTACTACCTTCCAGGTCACAGAACTCCCCCAGAGGGATGGGTTGTTCTTGGGGACAAACACAAATGGCAAGAAGTAGCCTAGCAGTAGAGCAGTGTCTGGGTTACAGCTCAGGATGTAGCTAGGTTTGCATCTCTACTTGTGCAGTGAGCCCAAATGCCCAGGTCTGACTCGATAGAAGTCATAAGGGCAAAGCAGTCACAGCTTCTGTGCCTTAAGCACAGACTCAGAGGTTCTCCCTGTGTGAACCTTTCCCAGCTCAAGCCAGCTCACCTGGAAGAAAAAAGAAGCCCTCTTGGCAGCCGCAGGACTTCAAGTTTATTTTATTTCCTCCTAAACACATCAGTTTGCCATCAGTAACTCTGCAGTCCAAAGGCTCTTGGAAAAAACTCCCAGCTCATTCCGAGTCTTACTGTCGGCATGCATGCCAAAGAGCTGAGACAGCTTCCCCCTGGCAGCACTTCTGTCAGGCAGGTCGGCCAGCAGCTTTCCTCCCGGCTGCCTGCCCAGACCATAGAAGGGCTGATCCTTGACCTCTGCCAGCGTTGGTGTCCTGGGATGTCTGTCTGTGCCATGCACACTCTGTCAGGCGGCACAGCAACATATTCTCTTTGCTGGAAAAGTATCCAGCGTGTGTCCCCAAGTACTCATTGCACCCCCGTGAAGAGGGTCAGGATGTCTGCGTCACTCCCCCACGACTGCCACTGGGCTCCTCCTCACCACGCCTGTCGTGCCTGTGGCAGCACTCACAGATAGTGCCACGTGCCAAAGTGATGTGATGCCCCAAACTCATTGTGGTTTGTGTCCCACTTCTCAGTAGGGCTTGCGAAGCTTCCAATCTGCTGCCTGTTAAACTCCTCAGCGCCACGTGGGAGAACGAGTGAGAGAACATCCTTGGTGTGCAACAGCCGTAGACAGGCCTCACATTTCCTTCGTGAGCTCCGTAAGCCCCCGGAGGAAGGCTCACAGCCCACCCAACTGCTTGTGCTCCGAGAGGGGATTGCGCTGGTTTTTCCCACGATGTTTCCACCCCGCAGCACCAGCACGGCCCCACGTCCAGCCCCGCTCAGGGCTTTCCCAGCCCGCGCCTTGGTGCGGCCGCGGTGTTAAAACAAACGACCAAGCTCTGAGCAGCCCCAGAAGAAACCCCATGTGCCAGGCACGGCGTGGTGCCGCTGCCGCCTCACCATAGCCCCTCCCCTTTGAATGCAGAGTAACAAAGCCCAGTTAACCGCGCTTTGAGGAAAACCTGACTGGAAACACCTCGGCATCCAGCCGCCCCCCTTCCCACACCGCAGCGCCGGGGGGGCGGACCCGCCGCCTGCGCAGACGCTCCCGCGGGTCCGGGAGGTGCCGCATCTGCCGCTGCCGCCCGGGGCCGTGTCCGCGCCCGGGTTCGTGTCCCCCTGGGCTTCGCCGGCCCCGCAGTGCCCTGCCCGGGCCGTCCGGGCGCGCCTGCCCGCGGCCAAGAGGCTCCTGCCCGCTTCACTTCGGGCTCGGAGCGAGAGGGCCCTCGCTGGGCCCCGCCGCGGAGTGGAGGGCCTGAGGCGGGCTGTGGAAGCACGGCCCTACCCGGGACAGCCCTGCCGTGCTTTTGGCTTTCCCCTTATCACCCTCGGAGACGTGTGGCTGCCCTTGGGGCGCTGCAGCTGCGTTTCTCCTCGGGGACTGGTGAGGGGTGGGCACAGCGGCCGGGGCGAGGCCGCGGGGTGCTCCGGCGTTGGGGGGGCCTGGCTCGGCCTGTGTTGCTCTTGTTGTCCTCCACTGCCAAGGGAGCGGTTGTTGAAATAATTCCGTGTCTGCCTGCAGGAAAAGGGGAGAGAAAGGACACCGGGAGGAAGAGAACCCCCTCACCTGCATCCGCCCAAACCAGCTGAGCGGGGCAGTGGGTAAGGCCAGCGCCTCGCACCCCGCCTGTAATCCACTGCACTTTCCGGGTGTGCTGCCAGCCGGGAAGGCTTGTGCAGGACTGGTGGCATGCCTTTGGGTAATGCCTGGTAGCATTTCCACCGTTTGAGGGTGGCCCAGAGGAAAATCCGGTTTCCTCCTGAAACTACTCCTCGTTGCTCGCTGAAAATAATTGTGGTAATGGCAGAGGGTGGCAAACAGGATTTGGGTTTTGTGAGCCTGTGGTTTACTCTACAGGGTGGGTTATGTGGCCCTCTTAAAACACGTTTCCTGGTTGAGGTTTGACACAGCACAAGCTATCCGTTGACATCAAGGCACTCTGAGATAAACCTGTTGGGGAAATACCGCTCTCCACAGGAGGGAGGGAAGGTTGCCAGCTTTAATTTGCTTCTCTGCCTATCTGGCGGCTTCTTGTAAAGAAACTCTTGACTTTATTTCTAGAATAGACCAACCCTTTTCCAGGAGATCTCCACTGCTGTCAAAAGCATTCCAGGGCCTTACTAGATGTGCTGTTTCTGATTCCTGTGAAAACTTTTCTTCTGTGCCAGACCCAAGAAACAGGGGTGTACGTGATGACTGACTGTTGACATCGGCTGGCATATGTACTTTGAAAGGTCACACTGTCCATCAGCCAAATCAGCTGATGTGAAGCATCTAACTGACCTGTTTGTTTCATTCCAGGAAGATGGGATTGACAAACCATGAAGGAATAATGAGGGAATCCTGAAGCAGTAACAGTGTTTGCTCCTGGACTCTGCCCAAGGGGACTGTTTGCATATCAGTGCTCTTAACCAGGTATGGCACAGAGATAATAGTGCCTTTCTTTCATATGCCTGAAGGCCCAGGGCTGAGCCTATTCTCTCAAACAGGTCTCACCATCACTTTTGGGAGTAGGACTGCTGTGTACTTGACCTAGGAGATCTAGAGGGAGCTGATCCAGGGGAAAACTCTTTTTTTTTTTTTTTTAATACAGCTGGTTTGTTTTATTTAAACCTGATCAAAACATGGTTGCACATGTTGTTAGTCCTGTTGTGGCAAGACAAGGAAGGAGACCAGCACAGCAGCTGACAGAGACAGCCAGGACTACTGCAGCCCCATCAATGACAGTCTGGTATCACACCAGCAGCTCCTGTTGCTGTAATTTGCTACTTACCCTTGGAGAGAGAGAATTCATTGGAGTTTTGGTGTGGGTTTTTTGGGGTTTTTTTGGTTGTTTTTTTTTTTCCAGACCAGTGACTGAATAGGCAGTTCTCTAAAATATGCTTGTACTTAAAAAGTAGCACACATCATGAACACAATATGTGAGGAAAGTTTCTCCTTCCTTATGCGCAGATTGTTTGTGTTTTGGGACTTGAAGAGCAAGGGAGGAGAAGCTTCCTTCTGCAATGACTGATCTAGGGAAGAGGGTTGTGTACTTTGTTTTGGTTTTAACCTTCCACTCCCTTTTCCTTGGAAACTTCCTGTGAATACATGGACCTTGTCCCTCCAAGGCAAGGCAGCTGCTCTTCTCTGGTATTACAGCCAACATTGCCAATCTCTTCATCAGTGAGTTGATCAGCATTTTGAAAGGTCAGAGGTGCATCTTAGCTGAAAGTTTACTCAACACAGAAACACTTGAGGAATGGTGGGGGGTTTGTGGTTTTTTTTTTGTTTTTTTAAATCTTCTCATGGGGGTATTAACTTTATTTTCCAGTACTAATCCTTGCGGGGGATTTCTTTGCCCTCTGGGCCTGTAACATTCCTTACTGATAATAACCCCAAGACAAGAATTTGTCCTCTTCTTTTATAGAAGAGAAGATAAATGTGAGCCTGCGGGGTCACAGGCCGTTTTCTGACCACTGGATCTGGTTCCTCTGTCCTGTCACTCTTTACTGAAATAGAAGGAGCTCCTGCCCTCCCAAGTTTTTGCATTTCACTTCTCTTCTGCCCCAGACACTTGTGTGACTGTGCTTGGAGCTGCTGGATTGGAACACTTTAGTTTCATCCTCTCCAGAAGAGTTGCCCATCCGCTGCGGCGCTTGATGTGGAGCTGAGTGGTATCAGCCCTGTCCTGCTCTCCACCCAGCTGTGTGTTCTTGCCCTCTGTAGTGGTAGATGAGTTGAGGACGCTTGACAGAAGGATGTTGGGGTGTGGGGGTGCCTCAACCAAAGCTTTCCAAAGTGTTTTACACAGGGTATACAACATAGCTGCCCGAGTGTCTCCACACCAGGAGGTCTTTGCCATCCCTGTGAGACTGAGACTACCAAGTTTTAAGATGCTCTTTCTTTCTGCCAGTGAACATAGTCAAGAGGAGTGGGTTTAACTTGGGACTTCTGGAAGTGTCAGTAGAAAGGGACCCTGTAGAACATATTTCCTTCTGAATTGCCCACATAGTGTACCATGGAGGGCATATACTCCGTGGCTTCCTAGTTTTGGGGCCTGTGTCTGTACTTCTGGGAAGCCTCTAAGAAAGCCAGGTTTATTGTGGACTCCTAGTTATCCTACTTAGGGCTGAGGGCTGTTGTCTCTGGGATTTGCTGTTTTTCTTTCTTTACATCTTTAAATTTGCGCTTCTCTTTTTAAATGAAATATAATTGTGCTAAAACAATTTCTCACAGCTCATAAAGTGGTACAAAAATGCCAAATCATTTGTGTTGACTTCTGCTTAGGTTTTCATGCTGTAAAAACCCAGCTCAGTTGCATTTATGTCTGCAGTGGGACCATGGAAGGAACAGAGATGTCACCAAGTGTTAACTCAGAGGAGAGCAGTGTGTTGGACCTTCCGTCTGTTTGTGACCTGGCAGAGCTCTTTGTGCCTCCACGCAGCACTGAAAACACTGAGGAACTTTATCGTTCTGTGGATGCTTTTCCCTCTCTGCCCACAGGTAACAGCTTCTGTTTCTCCCCATGCTCTTTCTTTAGCCGGTTCAGGCAGTGTGTTGTGTGACTAGGTAACTGCAGTCTGGTACTGGTGCAGCTGCCTGTTTTAAAACACAGTTTAGCAAAAGTACAGTCTGTTCAAGCTCCCCAGATACAGTGTGGCTGATGAGACACAGAAGAGGAGTTCAGAGGATACTCTCAGCTGCTAATGTTTTTACAACACTCTTTCTTCATGTGTAATGTGTTCTCAGAAGGAGTTACTTGAACTAATCCACAGAGCAGTCGTTCAGACATCAGCAGGAAATAATGTCACATATTACCATAGTCAGTAAGAAGTTTTTAAACTTTTCCTTATCTTCTTCATGTGCTCATCATGTATCTTCCAGTCATGAACTCAGGATGTGGCCTCTGTAGCCCATTACTTTAAAATTATAACTGAATGTTTGCTTATGCTAATGACGTGAGTGTGATGAGAACTTCATCATTTCAACTCCTGGTAAGCAGCAGTTTCCTCACTTGAAAGAGGGCTGATTCCAGCAGAAATATCATTTTAGGTCAGCCACTACTGCCCATTCTTGGGAGTAGTGGTGTATCTGAGATGATAAGCTGACACATGCTCAGTCCTACAGCCCTCAGGCCAGTCAGCTTGAGTACATGGCAAGAAAGGTGAAATCGAAATGCTCTGGCCCGGTGACACTTCTTGCCTTATATTCATGCTGTCTTGGGATGAAGGTTGTATATTTAATATATTTAACATATTAAATATATATTATATATTAATTATATTTAATATTGGGGAGGGAAATAAATTCTGGTCAGCAAATAATGTGTGGAGAGGATTTGTCAAGACACCTGAGCAAGTGAAACATCACTGATGACATTTCTGGTTGCTTTAAAATCTTAAGTAGTGTAAAAGTAGAATTTAGTTCCTTCTTACTCTGACACTGGGTGGTCTGCTTCCAAGAAGCTAGCTTGGAATCTGACAGGTGAGTTTTTTCAGTGGGAATTCCACAATTTTTGCATGCTAAACAGGCAAGCAGTGGGATCTACCAACTAATGAGCTCTGTTGATGTTGACTACTTGCCTGTGCAGTTGTCTTCACCAGCAGGTGTGGGACATCCATAACTGTAATGAAATCTGCAAACAGTAAATACCAAGCCTTGCTTTGGTTTTGCTGTGCAGACCAGGAATTCACACATCTTATGTTAATAATGATGAAAATCTTCTGCTCTTAACCTCTACTTTAAACCATGATACCTATCACATTCCATGATCCACGTTGCATTAGAGCAATAGGGCCTCTGTTTTGAGGTTTTGCTTTATTTTTTGTGCATGAGTGCAATGACCATCACTATGAGGAATGCCCTGAGCAAGCCTTTTCCTCTGTTGTGGGAGAGGAGGATGGAGAAGTTCCTCTGACAGTGAGACAGGCTCGAAGGCATTTGTTTACTCAGATTTCACAAGCCCTGTGGTGCAGGTATGAAGAAATTCTGGGAGCTGTGAGGCAGTTCCTGCAGTGTGTTGCACAGGCACCATTTAGTGTGGCTCAGGACAAGTGGACCTGATTGCTCTGTGGAATGGGGTGCACAGAAGAACTGCATGACCAGTTAGCAGTCCTAAGAGTGTTCTCAGGCTTAGTGGAAGTGACATATGTGGAAATGACAGCACTGGGCAAATCATTAATGGTGCATGTGTGGAATATGAAGCTCAGTCTCAAGGTATGCTGAGAGGCCACATCCTGCCTCCTTGCTGTCTCCAGCACCCCCTGATATCAGTGTGGATTCCAGCTGTGCTGAGGAGGGCAGATTAGGCCCATGAACCCTCTCCTTTTTTGCTTGTTTTAGAGATTGCTCACAACTGAAACCAGTTGGAAATAACTGTGGGATGCATACTGTACAATGGTTCCTTACTCTGTGCTCCTGGGATTGAAATAACCAAGTATCACAGCATAACCAGTTCATGCTCTGAACATCTTGGTTCCTGTCTCCTTGTAACAGCAGCAAACCAATATACATACTCTCTTGAACTCTCTCTTTTGATGCAACTTCAGCTTTGTAAGCTACTGAGTTTGGTCAGTGTGGCAGAAGAGGCAGGAGGAGGCTTTTAAAATTAATCTGCCTGTGTCAGATGTTCTTGGACAAGCAAGTTCTGTCAAATGTATCTTGGGAAAGGAAGCTCCTTTACTTGTTTGTTTTCTCGTGAGACACTGAGAACTGCTGCTGTGACACAATGTGAGCGAGGAGAGCAGGAGTGGCTATAGGTTATGTGACCAGAAGATTGCATCCTGGGGCTTGGGCAGGACGGATGGTGAGTCTTCCCATCAAACTTTAAAGGTTTCTGTTAGGGGTGAGGATCTTCCTTAATGATTCAAAAACATTTCCTCTGGGAACGTGACAGCTTCCTTAGGAAAGGAACAGACTGACGGGACAGGCTGTGTTTTCTGACATCTGCTGCTGAACTGGACTGAGACTGACTAAGATACCCTGCCATCAGTGCCTCAGGAGATGGAAGTGGTTATGGGGGTATTCCCAGTGTCTGAGTCACTCTTAATAGGTCTTATTAGCCTAAAGAGGCTCCATCACTGGTAATAGAAGATAGTACCCATTAGCCATGAAAACAGGGCTTTCTGGCAGCAGGCATCCCTGGGCAAGAAAACAAGTAGTGCTGTAGGAATGCTACTAAATCTCGAAGTTCTGTATAAGTGAGTGGTTTTATGATTTGTGTGGAAATGAGGGTTCTACTCTTGCAACCTTTAGCTTGTTGTCATAGTGAGTTTAAGTGTGTAAGTGGTGAGAAAATGGAATTGGATCAGTGGACCTTTCAGTGTGCTTTATCTTTTTTTACCCCGTAATGGAAAATAGTTTTTAAAAATAAATTGTTTATTGTTTTTTTAATCTACATCACTCAGTTGCAGAGTTCAGCAGGAACATCTTACTACTTCCTCTGGATTAAGAAAAATTGCCAGCAAAAGTTCTTACTTGGCAGGCAGCACTCAGGTGTGTGTGTGGGAAAGCCTTAAATTATTCAGTTTAATATTTCAAAAGAAGCTAATAATGGTTGTTTCCAAAACAAATAAATCACTCACAGTGTAACTTTTCATTTAGGGCACTGAACCAGAGGGTACCAGGGACAGTGGAAACATAATATTTGCCTGGAAAATTAGCAACCTAAAAAACTGTAGAGAATAGGCGACAGATGTGCTCTACAAGTTGATTCAGACAAGGTTCTGGCCTCTACCCATGCGCTGTGATCAGCCAGAATTGAGTTTGTCAGTGCAGCCCTGGAGTAATTCTGCTGAGTTTGGAGGCAGCATTTGAGAGCTCAGCTGTGGAACCACACTTGGGAGGCTCCTGTGTGAAGCATGGTCAAAGCTCAGTCCCATCTGCCTCCATGGCCCTTGCCTAGGGCTGATGATCTTGGGGAGATGGGTCTCCTTGTTTGCCCTGTAGCTTCTGCCTTAATCGCTTTTTCTTTGTTATGAAAAGTAATTAAAAAGCTGTGTCCTTAGGAAAATGGATGGGTAGACAGGGTCAGCCAGTGGAGGAAAATGGGGTGGGTGCCACAAGAACAGAGAAAATAAGAGGAATGTGTCTTGGTTTGAAAACCTCCACAGGATGACAGTAGGAGAGGAAGGATGATGCTGGAGAGATGGGGTGGTAAAGGAGCACAGAGTTTACCATGGGCTTGAAGAGACCTGCAATTATCTAAAAGCTGGCTAGCTTTTTTAAAAAAAAGCAAAATGAATTAAAGCCAGTTTGGGAGGATAGAGGTGTTCAACCTTTAGTTGCCTCTCCAAAAGCGCTGCTTCTCTTCCTGTAGTTTTCTTCTAGTTTGAGCCCAGGCTTACCTGTAGTTGTTTTCCGTGGACTTCCCTGACCTCTCTAATGCAGTGAGAATCCTAGGCTGCCTCTGACTGTGCTTATTATTCCTGGTCAATCCTTAGTGTTGGTACATAGGTGGCCACATGAGAAGTCAGCTCAGGGAATTGGCCCAGCTTTCTGGGCAGCCACGTGAATATTTGTGTGGCTGAGATGGGGACAGCTCCTCTTTCAGGCAGCAGCACAAGTACAGCCAAGATACAGTGTCTGCAACATGTCCTCCCTTTCACAGGGGGTTACAGTCTTTGCAGGATGGTGGTTTCTGAAAGAAGTAGTGCTAAAGTATTAATCACTTTTCCCTTTGTGTAGCCAGGCTGTAGGTTCTTTCTGATCAATTGTGAGGGTTTTGTAGGCTTTCTTCAAAAATAGTTCATGTGGAATAAGTTGTGAGAGCTTGGGGAAAATGGAACAGACTCAGTGGCTTCAGGCAAATCAGTGAGCCTGGGCCATGGCACTGCTACTGAAATTGCCATTCAAATCAAGAGGACCGAGCACAAGATTATCCCAGTTTAAAAGTAAAAGCCATCATGATTTTTGGAGTGTTCTGTTTGCTTTCTGGGTTTTCAGTCAACCAAGCTTCTATGTAAAAACAAAACAGAGATTATCAACCTGTTGCCACAGAACTTACATGCCTGGTTTTGTGGTGGGTTGGTGTGTCTTTTATTAGGAACTGGGGAGCGGTGCTAATGTTGGTACATGTGTTCTGACTTGTCCTTAAATGCTTTCTCCTGTTTGCCACGTCTGCTGGCCTGTCAGCAGTTGCTTAATGTGTTCTGCAGAAATGGGTTATGTTTACTTTAGAAGTCTGGCGTGGCCCGTGCTTTTTCTGTTGCGGGAGTTCACGAGTCCACAAGTGCTGACGTAAAGGGAGAAAATGAAAGGAGTGGACTTTGGCATGTCAGCAGCAACCTTTCCAAGGTTGACACTTGATGGGTGCTTGGAGGTTCAGTTCAGCCCAGAACTCAAGTGTTCATTACTTGGTATAGAAATTATAGCTTGGCCATCTGAGCTACCAAAAGTTGCAAAGTTTCCAAAATGGCTTTTTGTCTGGCCATGCTGAAGACAACCTGAAGGCTAAAGACCTTTATATACAGTCTCTTTAAGAAGTCTCTGTAACTTTGTAAATC